ACTCGAGATGCCTCGAAAACTGGAAAAACACCCGTTTTTACAACGAAAAAACGCTGCAGTTTCATCGCAGCACGTTGTGGAGCTCTGCGTTAGCATATTCAGATTCAGAATTGATAACTGAATCTAGTCATATGCTTTCCAAAGCTCCAGAGCCAAAACTCTATTCTTGGCTGAATCAAAAATCGGGGCGTGTCGCCCATCACATCCGATTTTTATGAACCTATCTCCTCCTACAGTTCGATAGATAGAGCCCTAATTCACACATGGTTAGATGCGCCAGACACTTCTCTACAACATAGTGAAAAGCTTTTCCCGAAAAGTTTTGCGTTCAAAAGTTATACGGCATTTACTGGGCAAAATCAAAATTCTGACACTAATTCGCAATTTTCTCTATTAGAACTCAACTTTCACGCAGTGAAAATATCATTTTCGAAATCAGCGTCGAACGTCGAGTCGAATGATGTACTTTTTTTGTTATCAATTCTGAATCTGAATATGCTAACGCAGAGCTCCACAACGTGCTGCAACGAAACTACAGCGTTTTTTCGAAAAACGGGTGTTTTTCCGGTTTTCGAGGCATCTCGAGTTTTCTTGATTTTTCGACCACAAAACAGTCTCTAAAAAATCTCCGTACCATATATTTGTGATCTCCGTTCGATTGTCTATGGAGTGGTGTATAAAGCAGTCAAAAGAAAAATAAATTCCAAGTTTGCCTTATGCGCATCTTAGCATTTCTGATTGCAATAGCATCCGGAAAATTGAAATTTATGGAATTCAAAACAGTTTTTGATTTTGTATAAGAAAATATGACCACAAATGTTGCTAAATGTTCTTAGAACTACTATTTTCTTAAGTATTTAGTTTTTTTAAAGAGCCATGTGCTATTGTCTGTGCAGGAATTTTGTGTCGATTTTGTTCACATTCTACTAGGTCATGAAACTGTTGTTGCCGTTTGTGACAATAAAACTAACAAGAATACCTGCAACAGTACAACAAAACTTATTCACTATAAATATTTTGATATGAGTTTGGCACGTGAAGCTAGTGGCCTGTGGACCAATGTTAAAGATTTTTATTTATGGCTCGAAGCACTTTTCAATAGTCCAACATCATCATCAAAACATTTAATTAAACCTATTGTTCTAAAACAAATAATACCGCCGTCTCGCATATCTAGAAAAAATCCGTATGGTTGGGATGGCTATGGTCTAATAATTAATGACGATGGTAATGTTATAGAACATAGTGGTGAAGTGTATGGTTTTGAAACATGTTTTAAACGTTTAGTGAAAGAACAGATTAACATTATTCTATTTTCAAATATATTTGAATGTCCAGTTGGCGATTATGCCGACTATATACAAAGTATATTAACAACAGCTGAAGACGGTGAATTTGATGCGAAGAGACAACGGCAAACGATTTAATACAACGTTGAAAACAAAGAAAAGATTTAAAAATAAGTTTTTATGATGAATACACATCACACACTGCTTTCTCTATGTTCACAAGTGATTTCTTCGAAATTTTTGCAACATAGATGATCCCGAATAAATCGACGCCGTTTTAAAAAGCACATTCATAAGTCGAAAAAGTAACTTTTTTGTTTAGAGTTAGCATAAAAATACATAAATGCTTCTGACCGAAGTATAGACGTGTCACACCGAGATCACCGTTCTGCGGAAATTTCAATAAAATTGAACCTACGGAAAATTTAGGAAACTCACTTTACTGAAGAAAATGTTTCGGAAAACGCTCAGCGTAGGTAAAAAGTTGGATATGTCCAACAGGAAACACTTGAAACAAAATAACTTTTACGACTCGATAGAGCAAGAGCTGCTCGTTCCGAATATGCGAAATCTATGTGCACATTTCTTCTCCCGTTCTGTGCTACATGCGCCTTTTCCCCGAGATTGCTGAAAACTAGAGAATTTTTAAAAACAGGCTGTCTCAGCGAACCTTAATTTAATTTCTATCTATAGAAATTCTTTCGCTAGTAAATCAAGCCTTAGTCAAGTTTATATGACGCCCCTTAAATCATGCAAAAACTCACTTTCGTTTTTCCGTCTAATGTCCACGTGCTTGCCCACTGTGCGTCTGCTTAAAAGCCCAGTTTTCCATAAGTTCATTATGAAAGTCAAAACCATGGCAGACTGATATAGCCATCGGAAGCAGCATGTCTGAAAACCTCCAGAATCTCAGATTCTGTCTGAAATCTTCACTTCAGCAGGCTGTATCCTCATTTTTCTTGTATTGAAAAGACGCTCTTACTCTTGCACGGATAAATCATGTGGACAAACATATTGTTTCTCAAAATACGCAGTTTATAGTAGATAAGTCTGTCAAAATTGCAGAATGGAAAAAATTGTCAAAAATAGTTTGGAACTCGCCACTTCAGCCCATTCCGCATTTCCCCATCATATCACAGCAGAAATCCCCATTATCAAGTTCTCTAAACGCGTTTACTAGTATCATTAGTGGCAAATATGATTTTGTTTTGATCCACATTCCTAAACAGCTATTGTTTTTGACAATTTGAACAAACGTGTTAACCATAACAGTTTGGAAAAGGAATATAATCACATGTTTTGATGTTTGAATGTATTCTGCTACGAAAAGTAGATTTAACATCAAAATTCGACGAAAACGTCATTGGATTGAAACAATTTAGTTGTGAAGATGCTGCAGGTGTTTTTTACCCATTTCTGATCATTGTATTCTTAATATTCCTCCTGCTTCTTTGTGAACTTTAGCGTAATAACTGATCAACATTATCGTGATTAAGAGTTATCATCTTCAGTCTCTAACATCGTAAAATACAGATTATGGTTTTTATACTTTTCTACTATTTTTTATCAACTTTTGATCAACTATATATCAATTTTGATTTCAACTGTCGCAGCTAATTTTTCTCTTACAAATAGTCTTAAATATAAACGAGAAAACAATAAGACGTGTGAAACCTTTGGAGATGTTGAGCCTACAGAAATACTATGAAAGTATCGCATGATTATGATAAAGTTAGACGCTTTCTTCTAACGTAACCTATTTTATCTTTTTGATTTGAAATTCTACCAAACGAGACAAGAATTATTTTCCTCCTCACTTGTTTTCTTTCTTCATTTATTTTTCTCTTTTTGTCAAATTAATTATGTCGTGTCCGTCAGTCAGATAAGTCTGATCTAGCACGCTCTCAGCAGAGGAAACAAATGTAGGAATACGCATGATTCTTCGGTTAAAGAGAAATGTAATTCTACGAAAGAAGCACTGTTGCGCAAAATAGTTTTCCTTAACGAAGTAGTGGAGATTTTTGTTAACATTGATGGGTAATATTTTTTACAAAAATATCGAAACGTCGAACAGTTAAGTATATGTTATATTATAAAAGAGACAATGAAAACTATTGCTATTGGTCTATTAATTTGGCCACAAAGTGAAATATTGAATATGTAGAAAAGTTGAAGATTCGAATATTTCTGTGATAATAAAGAACTATTAGCACACTTGTTGAAAAACGTTTCCATATCTTGGTGTTTTTACAGAAATCTAAAAAATTTCCTCCTCGGAGTCATAACACGAGAAAGATGACTGTTTCTCGCAGAAGCTTGCTCAGTGACTATTTCAGATTTTCTTCTAAGTACCCTCATCTTGTAGAGCATGTTCGAAAACCTACACATCCAAACTTCATCTCCCGGCTGTCCATAAGACGTTTTCACAGAACTGCAGTCGATTTTGCACAACTTTAATGACTAGTCCCACCTGTCTAGATATTTTGACTAGCTCGGTTTGTAGAGAATTTCACGGGCTATCCCACGGTATTCTTTTGAAAAATATATAGTTTTTCATTAAGATAGAAAAGTGAATGCTTATGTCGACCGTTCCCGTCGACTTCGGTCGCTTTCTGTAACAAATTTACGTATCCCAAACTTTTGACGGCGACTTCGGATAGTACACTGAGCGTACTATCTACTGCAAGTACTCCGACTATATGTTACACATCAAGTACTACCTATCTTGAAAAAATCACGGTTTCATCTCTTCTCGAACACGAGAAAAATGAAATATACATTTTTCAAGCGCAATTTTTCGAACTGTACGCCAGTCATTTCATCTACAGAACGAAAAGTTCGGGTAGCCTAAAAGTTTGGATCTGTAGGTTTTTGAACATGCACTACAAGATCAGAGTACTTAGAAAAACATCTGAAATAGTCATTGAGCTTGGCTTGTCTTGGCTTATGTGCAATGGCTCCTATAGGCAGGTTAAAACATTCATTAATTCATTTATTAAGAAATACAGATGCAAGTACACGGATGAGTACACACTTGTGTAAACTGAAAAAACTTATCTTGATTATAATTATTTAGTATTTCATCGCTGTTATTTTAAATCTTTATTTATACGCATAAGACAGGACTTTTGCAATAAATGTCTTAATTTCACTTATAGCAGGTTGAATATTCATTCTAATGAGAAATATTATTTATTTATTTAAAACTTTATTGTAGAGGTTTCGCGTTAGGAACTATTCATCATCAGTACAGAAAACTTTAATGAAACACAAGTTAACAAGAGGATCGTACAGAAGCCAGCGGTGTAAATAAAGATGCTACTATCGTTTTTGTTATATAGATATATATGTTAGGAACAAAATTAGAATTCGGTAAAATTCTGAATTTGTCCAGACAGAATTGAAATTCTAATTTCTTCGGACAAAATCGGAGCCTCAGTGTTGTCCGGACGAAATTAGAATTGTAATTTTGATCAAGTTGTGAAAACTTAGAATGTGGACAAAATTAGACTTCTGTATAATAGAAGATTACAGTTGATAAAGCTAAAAAGTTATTACTCTTTGTTGAAATAATGCTCGTATTGCTATTGCTCATATTATTATATTATTTATTACTTAAGAATTAAAGAAAAGCAGAGTATCTACGCTAAATTTCTTCATTTCACAATATCTTTGTAATCAAACAGTATGTACAATTTATGGCACGTTAACCTATTCATCCATATTTTTACAAGCTGCTCGTTTAGAATGACATTTTGTCAAACAAAAAACTTCCGCTTTTTTATATGCACGTTGTCTCCTAGCACATTTCCCTTTATTATCGCATGTACGACCACTTGTCGATCCACGAACACGAAGTTTACGCGCTTCAATCATTGTAGTATCTTCTAAATCATCTATAACAAGCTGCTTTAATTTCTCAAGGCATGCTGATTTCAAATCAACAAAATGTTGAATTGCGAAAATGTTTTCTAATTTACTATATTGACAATCTAATTTGTACATAACATTTTTACCTTTCTGAATGTTTTCGACAATTAAGCGTGGCACACATGTAGCATCTGTATTTATTCTATCAACCGTATGAATTGTAATTTAGAACACAATCATCTAAATTAAAATCTTCTCTTAAACTATTTATACTATCTTGGTATTGTTTCATCTTTTTACTTGCAGTAGTTAAATGATTATTTGTAGGGATTTCGTCGAGCAAATCAAGTAAATTGTTTTTATTTGAGCTAGATTATCTAGTTCAAATAAAAACAATTGACTTGTGTTTGTGTTTGTGTATTTGAATTAATAATATCTTTAACTGTAAAATTGACAGAAATAAGATCATTCATAATTGAATTCTTATTATCAACAGATGATACAACACTTAACAGAATACAATTCTGTGTTGCTGGTGTGATGCTTCAGAAAAAGTTCTTCTTGTTTTGTGTAAAATTTTTACATCATTTAAAAGTGGTCGAATTTTGTATTAGTCCCACTAAGATGTGTAAACGAGTCATGTCAAAAAACTGAAAATACTTGAAGGATATAAAAACTCGAAAAATCCTTCAAGTTCAAAAAACGTTAGAGGGCTGATTTGAGACGCCCATGCCGGATGAGCTTTTAACTGCGCAATTGATCACACAGCATTTTCATATTTAGTTTTAACGCTGAATTCGAAAAAATTGCTTGAAGACTTCAAACCGATCTAGAGCAGAGATATTAAAGCTTTTTAGAACTTAAAGGACTTTTTAAGTTTTTACATCCTTCACGTATTTTCAATATTTTCAGCTCAGCTCAAAACTATGTGCTGTAACGGAATGTCACGTTCATAAAAAACATTTAGCATCGATTCATGCAGCTAGCTTCAGCAATGATCGTATTATGTGAGAGCTTGAAAAATGGAATTAATTTGCGTCAGATGGATATAATTGAAATTGCGAGTAATGAATTACAATTATTAACTAAACATTTTTTGAAAGTTTGTATTCTGAACTCTCAATGGTTGCAAAGATATTTTATTTTTATAGGTGACGTTAGGTGAATAGCAGTTAAATATATCAGAAAGAAAAAGTTACTAAGACTTCGAATTACGGGTGCCTTACGTGCACTGTTAAAAAAATTCACATTAGATCTTAGGGGCAGCCTACCACCTTCGTGTGAATTTTCCGCTATGATAAGTTTACGCTAAATATTCGGTTGCATTTACACTTTTTTAACAAAATTTTTTATGGTGTTAATTCACATTAGATTGTAAGAAAAGTTCACATTAGATCTTAGGGGCAGCCTACCTACCACCTTCGTGTGAATTTTCCTCTACGATTATTTTACACTAAATATCAGGTTATATTTACATTTCTTTTAAAAGCTTAACTATCGTTTTAATTCACATTAAAGCATACGGTTGATTTATCTTCCAAAACCTTTTTCGGTCTAAATTAATTTTGTCTCAATGTCTAGAAAATTCACAGAAAAAATTATTGCTTGTGTGTATTCACACTTTGTATTTAGTTTGTTATTATATATATTAGTTATTTATATTATATATATTATTTTATAGTTATTATATATATTTATTTCCTTCCTTGTTTACTTTTGAAATCAAGTTCATAATTGTTCAATGTTTATGGTTTTTGGAGTTTGTTTAAAACACCAATGACATGATACACAAAAAAACTGAGAATTGAAATAAAAAAATATCGGGCTGTCTAGTAAAAACAAATTTGTCATTTCTTTTCGAAGGAAAATCCTTAGTGGTATCAACATCATAAAATCTTCTCAAAAGTCGACCGCACTTGTAAGAAGCTTTTATATGGTACATTGCCTGCTGGAGTAAATTATCTATTTTTGCAAAATTATAGTACAAACTGCTATTGAGAGAATTGAATGCTCAAAAAAAAACTACTTAATTTATATCTGTTCTTAGTAGCACAAAAACAAAAATTCATCAATGTACGTGTGATTATGTTAGAAAAAAAGTTCACACAACAGAAAATGTCAATTATAATACACTAATTATTAACATAATAATATAAATATTATACACATTAATTATTTATTGAATATAATCTATTTGATAAATTAATGACTGGTACAGATGCAATATACTGATAGAACAAATAACATACGTGATGCTTGTTTTTATAAAACATTTTTTCTATTTTTTTCTCTCTATATATAAGTCAGAAAGCGTGTTCACGTTCCTTAGTGTGGATTTACCGGTGTATGTCTTTTCCCTAATGTAATTATACACGAATCTCTAATATTAATTTTAAAAAAAAGCAAATTCGAATGTGAATTTATCTATGTTTCTCTGTACTCTCTCTCTTTTTCCACACTGACTTTTAAAAGTAAATGGCGATCGAGTACATTAACATTACCACATATGAGACAACTACCGAAACCAGAGAGGAAAAGATAATCCAGTATAATGTAAACTCATTGTATCATTCATCTATACTTTCCTTAAAGGTAAATTCACATGTGACTAAGAGGTCATATTTTAGCTCTAACGTAAACAGAAATCAATCTTCAATGTCACTATAAGCGAACATCTATATTTTAATGTGAGTTCACACTAAACGAAAATTATAAAGAATTCAGTTTGAATTAACATTAAAGCAAAGTGTTCTTTCAGGCTGACTTTTTTACAGTAAAAGTGTCGATAGAGCAGATTAACATTAGTACAAAGAATAAAACTACTAAAAAGACAAAGTGGGTAGTATTAGCTTAGGTTATAATGAAAAAATAACCGAAGATAATGTTAATTTACCTTACACTTTTTACAGTGATGATGACCGAAAACGAAAGTTGGTTACAAGTCGAGTTTTTCTAATTAGAGATGTCAATAATGAAAATTAATTAAAGTTTAGGAACAGTTGTTACCAATGATTATTTTCGACAGGAAAAGATAACTGTTGATAATTTCGCTTCGAATGTTTTCAAGCTCCTCTTTGCGCTCAAAGTACGAAATTGAAATGTAGGAAAGATGAGTAATAGATATTTTCTATACTTGGAGTACAGCCATCTACAGTATAGCAACAACTACATTCTCATTGCAAAGGATCGGGTATTGCATTGTGTAATCGAGTGAACCAGTGAGTCTAGCTAAATTGATATTTTTTAGTCGTTTCTAGATACTTTTGCAGAAACATCATCCGATACTCTATGAACCTTACTTGTTCGTAGCAGATTGATCACAACATTTACTTAATTTAACATTTAAATATTCTAAGTTGGGCATATAGAAAAATGATGAGTTTAGTTCATTTATCCGTAAATAACAACGTTTAAGTACTAAATATTCAACTGATAATTGTTGTTGATCTGGATTAAATGATCAAAAACGTTGTCCGAACAACTGCATCTTTCGACAACGTAATCGTCCTCCTATAATCTTGGTCCAACTACTTTCAAAACTAAAATTGACCTGTCAGTTCAAAGCAAATGGTTGTCACGACGCTTTGAATTATGAAGCACTGGAGCAACATGAACTACACTGTAGCTACCAGAGAAATGCATGTTCAGGTTGTCGTAGGGAAATGTTGAAGAGAGAGCTTGACATACATCAGGCTCAGTGCAGCCAAGTAGAGCTACAGTGTCGTCTGTGTGAAACAAAATATCTGCAAAGGGATGGACACGATCAAATGCTTTGCATGAAGGATCACCTAATTGAGCAGCAGAAGACCCTCAAAGAACAGCAAGTCATCATCACTGCACTAAAGACAAAGGTTCAACAATTAGAAGGTAAGTGATGCAAACTAAGATTTGCCCTTTGACATGCATGCTCTCTTTTCCTTCTAGACTTTATATTTCCAAAAACTATTGAATTACAACAAGAGTGTCGATATATATCACGCGGGTACGGTGGCCTAAAATGGATTAATATAACTGCCCTTACTCCTGATATGGATACGCCCGGTAGCCGAGGAAATACTTTCGTTGATGGACAGAAGTGGGTAGCAGTCATTAGGACCGGCGTGGAGACTTACGTTAGCTCCCTAGTAACAGATGAGACATTTAATATTATCGGCTTCAGAGCTTGTACATTGTCATACTATCACGGTGGTGTGTATAACATCATGTGCGCTACTGTGAAAGTGAGAGGCTTTAAAAATAGAGATCTTACTGCTTCTAAAGACCTCAAGGTTCTCCCCAATGTTCAGGAAATTATGCTTGGCTGGACAAACGTCAATACAATCACTTTCGAAACTGAAAACGGGCACGTTTCTGGAACTGGTGGTGTTGCACTAGCACGTATCAAAATTCAAAATACGAATATCGGTAACACTGAAGAGTGGCGTGATCTGTTCCAGTAGATAGCTAATTAACCTCTTTCTACTATATTTTGACTTTCATCACCGGAAATCCAGAATAATGATCTATTTCCTTATGTGTGAAGTTTAGTTTTCTTTTTATAAATAAAAGTTTTCTAAAAAGCATAACAAGGAGAATCCACAGGTGAACATCTGTGAACTTCGTTTCTTATTAGTCAAAAGGTTCTTAAACATGTAGCTTACAAATTGGTATTTTCGTTGTGGTCTCCGTTTTTAAAATTGTACTGAACGTTGAAGAAACAAGAACATCTCCTAAAATCACTTGATTAATAATCTGTCAACAGACAAAACTCAGTTCAAGCAGAAAGTGAGGAATGGAGAAAGAAAACAAACAGTTGACTATTTGGAGTGCAAAGACCAAAACATGCACAAGTATATATATATATATACTTGTGCATGTTTTGGTTTTGTATTTTACTTTATTGTAACAGTCTGTACGACATACTCACTTGATAATGACCGTATAAATAGGTCGAAAATTCGTGTTTTAATAAATATTTTTATTAATAAACTCTT